CGAACTTGCTGTTAAGCGTGGTCACATCAATCATGTGATTGTCTGCGGGCATTCTGATTGTAAAGTGGGTTCTTTTTTTAACGACTCTTCGTGTAACCCTTGCCGCATATTTGTTGTGATGACACATGAGCTTCCCATGGGTGATACTATGCAAACTGGCAATTCCTTCTACTGGGAAAAACTGTAAAATACCACCCCTCAAAGTTTCCGTCCTCTGATACGCCCCTTCCCCACGTTCCTGTCCATCCGCAATCTTATAATATTTACCGTCTGCCCAAATTCTCTCTTCGTACTCCTACTCTACTGCTCCGGAAAAAACTCTTCAGTTTCTACCAAAAACTACCGTGGCGCGCGAGAGGGGAGCAGCCACATAGCGCCAGTAGCGAGAAAGCTGAGAAAAGTAAAAGACGGAAACTTTTTTCACAGAGGCAAATACCCCCACCCCCTTGGGAATTCCAACGTACGACGTGCTTTGTTGGCTAACCTATGAATACCTGGCATAGTATGCTGTATACCTTCCTGTCGCGGTGAGGACAAATATGGCGTTTCGTTAAACGTAGACTTCTGAATTTGGCTTTCGTCACTGTATCTTGATTTCAATTAGACTGAATTCAACTGAGAGTTGGATACTTTTTGATGGTCGAAGATGAATGACATCTGGTATTTTTTTCAGGCAATCAATACGCTGTACAATCTGCACAAGTGCCCGAAGACATTTGATCCCCAATCACCAATGGACCATTGGTTGCGTCGGCATGGTTATGCTTCCTTACAGAAATTAGAAGAACGCTTATCGGACTCTGAATCGCCTTTAGAATTCGTTTCGGATGTACCAGGATTTGGGTTAGTTGCCTACTGTCTCTTCCTGGTTCTGTAAATTTTAATCCTTTACTTAACTTACTTGACTGTGGTAGGTTTAGACTAGTATTCGACAGTAATGGAGTACGTTTTATGATTAGTAACTTGCTCATTTATTACAGTTTTGAGGCGATAATTGATCCTGAGAACAAATGGGGTGTTGAAGACAAGTTGTCGCAGATCAACACTCTTCAACAATTGGAGAATATCGCCAGTCACGGGTTCATGACTGTGAGTTTCTGTTTGCTAAATGTGGTAGCGGCATCCGTCATGTGGCTGTTGTCTCTTTGCGAGGGTCCAGAGGTATTTTCTCAATCGTCGTCCAAGCAAATGAAGGGGGGGGGGGGGAAAGTAAGGAAGAGGGAAGAGAGAAGACGGAAGGGAAAGAAAGAAAGAGGGAGAAATGCCATCGAAGCAGAGAAAGGTGAAGAGCTCTATGTGACAAGCCAATTGATGGGCTTTTTTCAAGGCGGTTTGATTAAGGGGTGGGTGAGTCACTTATGGTGCATGGAAAGACGGAATGTGCGAGGTCATGGTGATCATAGAGCCCTATGCATACGAGGTGCAGAGGAAAAGAGAAAAAAAGACTGAAGAGATTGACTTCACGTTGTCCGATGTGGCAGTGATTCTCTAAAGGGTCTAGGACAGAGTACGCCATCGCGTTGTGATCATTTTCTGAAAACCCCCTCCTCCCCTCCCAGCCCTCTGTCCTTCCTCATCGAACCGAGCCGTCGAGCGGGGGGGAGGTCGTCAGAATTAAACTATCATTTTCAAGTGTCGGAAATAGTAGTGCGTCCGTGAACTGACCAAATACGACCCCCTCCCAAAAATGACCAAGTACGACCCCCTCGCGGTCAAATACGACCCCCCCCTTGTGATGATCACAACGATGGCGTACCCTGGTCTAGGAGTCTCTAGCTTAGCTGATTTGATGCCAAATTGCCACAGTCAGCTGGCGACGAATGCTGGTTCGCTTGTCGTGACGACTCAGTTCTGCTGAGCTATACCTTTGTTGGATGCTTTAAATGGTCAAGCCGCGTTCATACTTCGTGACCGACGTTCTGCAAACCGCGCGCCTGTCTCTGACCACGGTGTTCTGCTGATGGTTTATCGATTAACCACTAGTCCAATCACATCCAAAAACGTCGTTCTAATCGTTCGATTATCGATGAAGTCAGTTGGTCGTGTACCACTTGGAATGGGGAGACGGGCATCTTTTCTTCATAGGTCTTTCCCATATCCTTGCCATAGAAATTCAACCGGGCAGGCAGGACAACTCGTCGCGAGCGCGTCGTCGCTCACTACGCCTATAAGCGCGAAATATTACGATTGTCTTGTCACATACCGCTCGGAAATATACGGTTCTAATAGGAAGCACTTGGGACATTACTTTCAAAGCATTTCTGAGCTGTAAAAGGTATTTACTATTTGACCTTTGCTGATGTAGAATTCCTCGAGAAAAAGACGGTCGATTTGCACGCAATGTGGTTTGACATCTTTGCTGGTGAAATGTACATGTTCAGTAAACCACGCAAACAGTTTGTTCTCATCAATAATGAGACTGTGGATGAATTGGAGCAAGAAGTTGAGAGACATCTAGCCTAAGGTGTCTTTTCTTGTGCATGACGTTATTAAACTGACGTTTCTATACTTCATGTTCGTACTTTTATGTCCGGCAGCGGTCGGTAGCGCTCATGATGGTGACATCCTTATTTTGTGGTTTATTGCCTTACTTGTTGACCTCGGACGCTCTAAACTCGGTCAGTCGTCGTCGCTATTCGCTTAGTATGATCGTAGCCTAGCTGATGACTCACTTGATGAGCTTTTCACGGTAGATTTCATCTAGTTCTTCCGCATTTCCTTCAACTCAAATCTCTTAAGCCTTGTAAAACGTATGTTTTCTGGCGTCTCATGAGTACTATTGTATCTAGTTGAAGGTGGAACTTTATCAGTTCTCGCCAGCTTCCATGACACCTATAAAGTATTCGTCACGAGGTTCAGACATTCACAATTAGGAATTAAATCCGGTTTCATTTCTTCCATAGACGGCTTTTTCATAGAGTATATTACTTCCGCAATAGATAGTATACCCACATTTTATAACGAACATAATCAATACTTTTCCATCGTGTACTTGTTTTCAATTAAATGTTGTTTTGATGTGCCTCCTTGCTTACAAAAAATATGTTAGGAACATTTACCATAATTATTGGATTCAAGCATAAGTTCACTGATTGAATGACTCAGTTTATAGTAGCAGTAGGAAGATGTTTGCGCGGTTTCTCTCTAGACGTTTCACTGCTACATCAGCATCAGCGTTGACCAAGAGGCGACGTTTTTATAAGGTTTTTAATTTTTGGTGACTTTTCCCCCAGTCCTTTCGATATCGGAGTTGTTCACAGTTTTGCTGCTTTGAGTTCATGCTAGAAGAGTTCTTGTAAGGCGGGGGAAGGGAGGGGCGCAGAATCCGGTTATCGAACAGGTGAGGCATGTGTTCATACTTTTCGTCGGCATTCTGTAAAATATTGAAGGCTTTGATCCTTTTCTCCAAAAAATAGGTATCGATCTCTAGGTTTGGGGAAGGCATAGGCAACGGTTTCGCGAGCGTATTGAATGTTCGCTCAGAGTGCAGGAAGGCGTCAAATTAGAAGCAAAGAAAAACAAACATGGGAAAGGAATACACTCCACAACACAGATGATCCGTTTCGCTCGGTATCGCAGACGAATCATGAAGCTGGAGATACCTATAGTTTCCTTTTCCGTCCAAAAGTGCTCAAAATGCTGGCGTTTCTTCCCAAAGCGCTGTATTGGTACCCATGCTTTTTTCTCTCGAAACGCTAAAACGAAAGTGACGAAAAAGTAGTGAAGCGCAGCTTGCACAAGTTTTACTATCCACGTCTTCCTTGTCTGTGAATTTCGTCTAAGCGCATCCAGCATTTTGCGTAGTTCTTCTTTTACGTGGATCCATTCAACACGTAAAAGAATGGGTTCATTCAACCTGCGTCCCACATAATTCCTCTTTGCCAATATTCCAACTTGCACATTTTCCCGAATTCGCAGAATCTGCCTCCAAAATTGTAAGTAACCTAAGATCTGTCTATCAATCCTTTGGATTGGGCACAGACTTCAACGATGGCAGCCTCATTACGTAATTATCTCACTGCAAAATGCTGCAGTAACCAGAACAGGACCTCATGCTGTTTCTCTTTTATGTCTTGTTTTTACAACTAATCAAGTATCTGGGCTAGCGTTAGAGGAGGAAACTTGTTTGGGTGTCTAACTATGGTTTTCGTTCCCTAGCAGATTATGGGTAAACGGAAATACCGTGGCTTCTAGCTCTGATGAATGTTTTAGCCTGTAGGATCATTTCGGTTCTATTGCGTTCGTAACTCATGTATTTGGGGCCTTAATGTGATGGTATGGCAGCATAACGCAAGTTCCATTGTGTGCCGAAGATATTTAAAAGGCAGCGTCCGCGATCAACCAAAGTGAAAAACCCTCCATTGAAAACGAACGCGGAGTTCGCAATCACAGCAGAAATCCCACTCTTGCGGCTCGAAATCGATTGGTTGACGAGGGCGGAGTCAACAGAGCCGGGCTGACGCCTCCTGTCCTGTTAATCCCGCCCCGACTGGTTGACAGTTATCAATGCTTGCTGGCATTGATATACGCTGAATTTCTAGAGTTCCGAGGCGGCGACGTGTATTGGAGAACTCACCAGAAGTTTGCGACTCGTCCAATGCCGTTTAAATTCATAGGTCTTATTTTAACGCTTTTACCACTTTTTCCTGCTTTTTTTGATTAAGTGCTTCATTGGCCACCTGTCTATAGCATAATGCTATACCTCCTGAAAACCTGCCAAAGCTCATCGCGGGCTGTCTTTCGAGTATTTTACCAAGCGGATGTTTGGCAATTTATTTTGGAGGTGAAGTATGTGATTTCGTTTTAGCGTACTACTGAAAAAATGACTCGTCCAATTTTGCATGACGATACCGGCTTCGCCGGATCCGATCCTGCGTGTGTCAGTGGGACAGTCCTTGACTCTTTCAGTTGAGGTTAGTCGGATCGCCCCTTCTTCCCTGAGCACTTCTGCTTTTCCCTCTTCACCGCTGGTCCCGCAGGTATTTTCCATTGAGAGCTTTTCATGAACTACCCTTTTGTTGGTTCAGAATGTTTTAATGTGGCGAAAGCCGTAGATTTGTGGTCGCCTGGGTTTCCACTTTGGAAACGAATTACGAGTTTTTGCAGCAAGCACTACCTATTCTGTGCATTCCTCGCCCATCGTGGGCGTGTCTTCCTCATTTCATCTAACAAACCGCTGCCGACCCTTACTGCTTTCTGGATTGTTCTGGAACTGTTTTATGGATTTCCGTCATTCAGCACCGTCCACTTCGATACATACCCTGCCCACTGTGGACGGAGCCTACCATCTCTCGTATGCCCTCTGTACCTGGCTTAGGCGCCACCCATCCCAAAGTTGATCGGGTCCCTCAAAATGGTTTTTCACTTGATTCTCGTCTCCAATCTGTCACACGGACAAACATACACACATACAGACGGACAGTCAGACAGACAGACAGACAGACAAACATACATACAGACAGACAGACAAGCAGACAACTTCTGGTTTGTATATAGAGAATGATGATTTTGTTATTAACACCTGATTGCTCATCAGATGGCTGTATCCCATTCTGAGAGGTGTTTCATCCACTGTTCCTTCCCCTGTCTTACTCTGCGATGTCTCTATGCAGCAGTACTGTGAACAACATTATTTTAGAGAAGTAGATTTGAGAAGATTTCTATACACTCACTCCACGAAGAACATAATTGATGGGATTACAGGTTGTAGATGTCGTTGAGGAGGGTACTGCAGATAACAAGGTATTCAAAGTGGCACTGGATGGTCGTATGTTGAAGACACAAGGCGGTAATGTTCTAAAGGTGAGTTCGAAAGAACATTATCAATTGAGACAATTTTGTGCCTTCTGTCCCATAAGTCATTCGGATTTGAATCCTCTTGAAGATGACGGGGCTCACAATCGTTCGGCCATCACGGTCAAATTTAGACCCTGCGCTCGAGCAATTCTTGGAATTCCTTTTTTCCCCAAGTTATCCGATCCGTAATTTCAAAGATTGCCCCACATTTGCGGGCCCACAATGAGAGGTGAGGATGCTGCTGCCATCATAAGTTGCACTTATATACCGTATACCGTACGATATACCCTATATGACTGCAACCTATCATGCCCGAAGCGTCCTCCTACTTATTGTGGAGCCGCGGAAGTGGCGGAGCCTTTGCGAAGAAACACACCGAACTACTTGGGCAAGGAAGTGGTTGAGTGCAGGGTGTGCCTCTCTGAGTTTTAGAGCTTCAGCCAGTTTGGTACCATTCATCACCGTTTCTCTGTCCATGGAAGATACACTTTGTTCTCTCTGCAGGGATATTCAATTTGATTATTCCAGCCAGTTTTTGGGAAGGTAAAAGTACTTCCTCCTTCATCTCAGTTGTGCAGTGTGCA